TAGCATTATCCTGATATTAATTTAATACTAATGCCAAAGTATTAGAATATTTTTTTTTCTATGTTTATAGGAAAGAATTTTCTAGTAAAATATTTTTATTTGAGTCAAAGTTTGTTTTGTGTGTTTGTCATCCAACCTTTACTCTTTCGTCGTTGATCTTTTTACCTTGACTGTAGTCCACTTTTATCTTGTCATACTACAACCTTTGTTTTTTTCTATCTCATTTCTTCGTCGACCGATACGTGTTTGAATTTGTTCTTTAACTTATGTGTGTACGCCGGTTTGTTGGTATATAAAGAGAAGCATATGCATTAGATTTTTTACCTCAATCTTTGTATCTAATTACTATATTTTTATTTCTTGTTCATCTGAACCATGTTGAGCTTTCAAACTCTCTCATATCTTCACGACATACCAGGTAAGAAAATGTTACTTTTAATATTTTTTTTAATTGTGTTATTTTTTTATTTGATAATTAAAAGTCGTCCGTTCATCAACTAATAAACTTCACGAGATGTATGCCAAAGCTAAAGATACACATGTGCTCATTCGGCTTCCATGCAATTTAGTCGAAACAGTTGCGGATAAATCAATAAAAATTGCTCTTACAGTTGCTAATCCCCCAAGTGAGCAAAAGACTGGATAAATGACTAGTCTTTTTTCTAGTCATGTCGACCCGTCATGCCCGGTCTTTGTCTCAAATTCGACTAGCACATGACTAGTCCGGGAGTTTTGGGCGTCATGAGGCCCCGTCTAAATCACATGATTGACGGGCGACATTATACGTGTTTAGTCTAGTCTTTTTTTTTAGAAAGACTCGTCCAGGACTGGGCTGAAGTCGGTTGATGCAGAACGTTATTATCTAATGTGCAGACTAGTCCTAGACGAGGACTTTTTGAGACAAAGACTAGTCATGACGGACGACAGCGACGCCCGTCCAAAATGAGTTTAAAACTGAAAAAGTAAGGACGTCAGGGACGGTACATAGGACAAGTTGCAGTCTAGTGTGTAGTGGACGAGTCCAGACTAGTCTAAATGGAAATATGTAAGGATGAAGATTAGGTTTGAACATGGGTACAATGTATTACTTACTTATCGCTTAAACCATTGAGCCATATGATCAAGAAATCAGCTTCTACATGGTCATAATCATTCTAGGATGCTATTTAATACAATTTGAAGTTTTTTATGTTCACATTTAAATAAAAATTATTTTTTACTGAATACGACATTATTTGGATAACATTAAAAAAATAAATTCAAAAAAATTTGTCTATTTTTTGGAAAAATATCTTTTGATTATCATTATCTAGGAACAATTAGTAGTATTTAAAAAAAAAAAAATTTTAAATGTAAAAATAAAAAAGCTATTTATATTCAAAAGAAACTATTTTTCCACATGATGGTTTAGTTTTAAATTAAAATGATCCTATCTCAACTAGCAATTAAATTAACTTTGCTTAATTTAAATATACCCGGATCAAAGAATCCCATGGCCCGGAGTCCGATCCGGATTTTATCGGACTTTGTCGGAATCCGATGGCTCAGCTTCGTCCTGGGTATTCTTAAATTTAAAATTATTAGAATATTCATATTTAAAATAAAATAACATAAAATTATGTTATAAACAAATTAAAATTGTTCTTCAGTTTTTTTTAAATATAGTACATCTAATAATTTTCAAAAATATAAATTAACATTCCTCGCTGCGAGTAAATATTGTTCATTGTACGTACTCCTACTTTTTGTGTACTCAAAAAGTGAGTACACTACTAAAATCGGTCAGTGTGTCCGGCCAGCCGTCCGTCCGTTTATTCGATAACTTTCGAAAGGAGAGTCCGATCGCGATGAAATTTTCTACACAGTTTAGTCTTAACAATATCTCGGTCGAGTTCGAAGATGAGAAGGATTGGCCGAGCCCTTCCTGAGTTATTGCAAAAATACTCATTTTTCCCTGCACCTTCCCTATCGAAAGATCGACCCATGCCCACTTTCGTAAAAGACTTTTCCTATCATAGTCAACTAAAACCCCAACTATTATATACCAGTCGATAGAGAATTTCACGAGCTACAAAATGGTATATAAAACATAAAGAAACAAAGAAGGTTGGCTCATCTATCACAAAGATAATTAAAGAGAACTAGGTTATATTTTTGTCCACGATCTAATTGATCCACAAATAGAGCTCTATCTTCCGATCACAGTGATGATACTTCGAGGTTTTCTGAGATGGAGAACACGAATCTGTATTCCACTTCCATCGAAATACTATTGGTTGAGCAGTGACCAATAGAAATCAAGTTATAGGAAAAACGACTTTCTTAGGGTAAATCAAGGGGAAGAGTTCAAATTTGAGCTGTATTCGGTCCCAAGTCCTATTGGTTTGGCAATACTCAATAGAAATCAACAGTTTAGAGGGTAGGTTCCCCAGTATAATTTTGATGTCCACACGTTCTAGAACGACTCATCTGTCTCATTCACTTTTTGAAGTACACATAACTCTCGGATTTAAATCCGAAGTTTCCGCATTTATTTTTGTTGGTTCCGATATACTCTCACATTTTCAACATATTAAAATACAAAATATAATAAGATATATGAAGACAGGAATGCACAAAGTATATTATCTATCTCTAACCTCATTGTTAATTATAACAAACTCTCTGATTGTTGTTCTACCTTGAAACATATTCATAGTATCTGGACGATCGATATAGTTTTAATATGAAAAATGTATGTTATTAATTGCCGTAATCATAATATAACGGATCAATCTTGATCCTCAATTCAGAAAGATTTGAGTACAAGACAGACAATAAAACGATTGTTATTCTACTACCTAGTTCTTGGTCTCGATGCATTGAATATTTTTCATTGATTATTTTTAACAAATCATATAGATATTGAAAAGTTTTCTACTTGCATTCTACCTCTTGTACTGTCCATTATTGATCAGTTTAAACGAATTGACAAGATATATTTAGTTCAAAGAAAGTGAATTGTTTAGAGTTTTCGGACTAGTCTGACTAGAACAGGTGACATACTCTTTGAAAATGGACTAGTCACGACGAGTGCAGACAACGCTTCGGACTAGTCTTGACTCTATGAAAGACGTTTCAGATTAGTCAAAGTCGTGTGATATCGACTGGTTTCTGATCGTCTAGTGGATGGATAGGAGTCAATTTCGTATCTTAGACTATATAAATTGACGTCAGTCTATCTCAATGTCCTAGTCTGCCGTCAGGGTGCCCGTCCTATTTTGAATAACGTCGACTTGGGTGTTCGAATCTATCTTTCATCTTCTTTTTTTAGTCTTCGGACTAGTCTGGACAGGTTCTAAAGACAAAATGAACTAGACATGACTGGATTCAAGGACTTTCTGGACTAGTCCAGACGTGTTTGAAGGGCATTTCTCTAATAGGTGACTAGTCATGACGGATGTGCAAGACGTTTCAGACTAGACTTGACGGGCGTTGCGGACATTTTGGACTAGTCATAGACGTCGTCTTTCGTCATTTTTTGCTCACTTGGGCCCCTTGTCAAACCATTATATGGACTTGGTAAATTTGTTTTAAACAAATTTGTTTATTTTTTTAATATACATATTCTCATAATTTAGTACATGCAATTGATGACTATGCTGTCGAAAAATTTCGTCAAATTGAATCTAAATATCCTGTTATTAATACACCAACTAAAGAGGTTATGAATACATTCAACGAAAAAACTGAATCTATTCGTCATGTAATGAATTCAGTTAAGGATACAACTACATCAACAATTCAACGTGGCAAAGAGACTGTAGGAAAATTTCTTTTCATCTTTTTTTTTAAATTTTAATTTGTTTTTATATTTAGGTTTTTCATGTAGCAACAATCACAGTACATAAAACATCTGATGTAGCTGGTTCTGTCTTCTCATTTGGTGAAACACATGTACCAAGAAGTATGTAAAAATCAGAAATAAAAATTTCTTTTAATTCAATTTGAATTTTTCTAGTCAAACATCTTAATGCCAGCAAAACAATAGAGTTCCATGAACATGCTTGTTCAACTGTTAGTTCATTATATAGTTATGTATTTCATTCTGTTCAATCATCATTAATATGGTCCAAAATGTTTACTATATATTCTTTTTACTTAAAACAAAATAAATGAATGATCTTGTATATTATTTTTATTTTATTTATTTTTAATATTTACTTAGGACATTATTCTTTTATACCAACATTATAGTTGATCTCATATATATGCGAAAAGAACCATTAAGAAATTTTTTATTTTTATTTTTAAAGAAATCAAAAAATGTCCTCAGGCATTAGCAGAACGAGTTCTACGTGCCGTTTGACATCAGCACTCTTTATACTGTGACCAACAGTTCTACTTGTATAAACTATATCATTAAGAACTAAATAGATCAAAAATCTAATGACTTTTCTTTTCAGAAAACGTATTTCTATTAATTAAGGTTCTTGTTATACATATAGCGGAGCCATACTGTCTATGTATTCTGGATTTTTCGAGATGTTCTACATTGTTTCTCACATTTTTGATACTATAATCGG